GCCCCCCCCCGCCCCGACTGCCCCAAAGGAGCGGGGTCCAGGAGACGTGGCAGCACCCGAAGAATCGCCGTTACGGAACATGAAGCCTTGACTTACACCATTCCCGCTACCACCAGACAGGGTACTCGAGACTGCCAAGACCATCAGCTAACACAGGGAGGCCCGAGGATGCGGAGCACAACCCACTTCCACACGTCAGGCTGGGGTCTGCGCCACTGGCACGGGCCCTGGCTCCCAGGGCATGATGGTCACCCCTCTCCCATCAGGCACAACTCCTGCACGCCATGCCGACATCTGGGCGACCCACCCACGCCCAGTCCTGACGCGTGGCCCAGAGGTGCCTCGGCGGTCAGCTCTCACGTCACCCAAAGCCCCTGCGTCCCGCAGCCGGCTGCCCACGGAGCTGTCAGAAAGGCACCTCGGGAGCAGCTTCTCAACCACCCAAAACAGCCACAGGCCGAGTACCGGGCTGCCAAAAACCACTGACACAACTTGCTGATGTCAGCTGCGTCCAGCCCAAGCGTCGCTCGTTTGCTACTAACAGGCAGCACACGGAGCTTCCTGCGCTTCGTCAGTGCAGATCCCTTTAGTGTGATATTCCACACCTGGGTATCTGCGGGGCTGTTCCACACCCGAAGCAGCGTAAGGAAGGTCCAAGTCCATAGCTGCAGGAGGCTGATTTGGGTGGGAAGCGTTCCCCTCCGAGGCTGCCAGACCGCCCCATCCACAGCGCTTCTGCCGCCAGCCGTGCTGAGCAGCGGGAGGTGCCGGGGGGACACCAGCTGCTCGGGCACCATTCCCCACTGGAAGAGGCAGGAGATCCCCATCTTCTCCCAGGGAGAAACAGCAGCCACGTGGAAGCATGCAGCAAGCCACGGGTGAGCAGACCCGATCCAACTCACCAACCGAAACACGGGCCGGCAGGTCGGCGTTAGCACCTCCCAGGCAGTGCCGGAGCCTTGGTACGGGCTTGGTTAGCAGAGATTGCCCCTGGCTGGGGTAACGCTTCATGACCTGTCTCCTGCCTCACCGCTAGGGTTCAGGTAGGCATCGGGGAGCAGCGAGTGACTCCATTAGCTCCACCCTGGGCTGCTGCACCCCATGGTATTTCACACTGAAACACACAGCCACTCCTCTTTGCTATTTAACAGCACAGAAGAGGCCAGACCGCCAGCGCTGCGGGTTCACGCCTTCCCCAGGCGCGCCCGACCTCGAGCGCAGAGGCATCGGGCAGACACCGC